TGACTTTACCTGGGCATTTTATCTTCTGTCTAAGGTGACAGTACAAATAAGGACACGTGGAGAAAATTTTACGTATTTATGAGTCATTAAATACTTCATTTAGGACTGTTTATATGAAGGGCACTTTCCCCTGCAGTTTCCGAAAACGAAAAAGTTAAGTCTGAAGGTCTGAGCTTAAATATCCCACTCGTAACACGGGTAATTATTTTAAAACTTGATCATTTGCTATTTATAAAAGGCAATCTGAAGAAAATGTCTGCTTCACGCTTCAACTTCCGAAATGCTGAAAAGCATTCACAGCTGAAGACTGTTTTCTATTTTACATCTCAAGGCAGGCTGAGGAAGAGAAGGGAAGGTTTTTGAACCTAGGTTCCCTTCAGGGCCCATGTGTCTTAATGGAAATAGAAAAGCTACTTTGGGCCATAAGAGATAATTCACAGCTCCGTAAGGTTGATGAATTAATTCTTGGGTTATATGCTTTCAAAACGCTATTTTATGATGAATGTAGTAGAGGAAATGCGTTTTCTGTTTTTGCTGTTGTTTTTCTCCCGTATAAATTACGAACGGAGCAAGGAAGACCTGTATGTCCAGCAAAGCATGTTTTCCTTGCATCCTATAATAAATCCCTATCCTGTTTCTAATAATGACGTGTAAAATATCCAAACATATATGCATTTTAAATATTTCTAAATTTTTTGGAATTCAGGGATTACAAGAATTCTAGATAGCCGTAAAGGTGCGAAGAAAAAAAAATATGACTCTCAGATTGTATCTGCTGCCCCTTTTTCTAAAGCAAAACTATTAAAAACCAAGAAATTTAAAGTGGGAAAATCCAAAAACTGGTGAGGGCTTAACCGAACACAATGGAATCACTACTATCAGAACCTACGAACCAACTGCTGAACTGGGACTGAGGTATGTCATGTGACCCCAAAGCCTTGCTGGGGGCCTCCCAGGTGGAGCTATGGAATCTGACCCGTTTTACAGCAAATGCTATTACAGTCAAGTCACGTATTTCAGAATTTACTTTTCTTCCCCAGAGTGCCTGTGAATATCTGATGGACAGTCTCTCGACTTAAAAAAACAGACAAACAAACAAACAATCCCTTAATATGGGTTCTCCTGTAATAACTCCAATATACCTTGCTAGTACTTGGAGTGCATAGGTTAAGGAGCTTATGGCCAACCAATGAAAGTTAAGTGTATCTGATCAAGTGTATCTGATCATTTCTCCAGGTTCCTGATGGTTAAAACAAACAAACAAACAAACAAACAAAAACAACAGACGTTATCTACGCATTCTCTGCAAATACTGGTGGTGGCTAAAGACCGAAAACCACGAGGTCTGTGTACACAAGACAACTTCCTACACATTCCAACCAGAGAGAGATGATTTTACTCGTTATGCCAACATAATGGGAGTCTTCCATCCCAGCATTTTAACCCCAGTGGAATGACTTTCTCAATCCAGTATGCCTACAAATTAGACTCTTTGAATGTAGCAAAACAATATGTACGTAACTTACAACACCTGCATCTTAGCGACAACAAACTCTCTCCTGTAAATGCCAAGACCCAAGACTCAACAGGCCTGCAAGAAAGCTTACCTTCCATGTGGCAGCATTACGCCGGAAGTAAGCAAACATTCGTGTGAACCAGTTATAGATTTCATTTAGTGTTAGCTGCTTTTCTGGAGATTCGAGAATGGCCTGTGAAGCAAAAGCAACAGAGAAAGATAATTTATGACCAAATCAACAGAACCGTCATTGTACAGTTTCTTGAAAACATAAAATAATCGGGATGCTGAGCTAAATCCTAAGGAAGGCTGCACGAAATGCTCTAAGATTGATTAATGGCTGTATTTACCAGTTCAATAGCAAAATTCAAAACGGAATTATCTAATTGTTTTGAGTTTTTATTTCTGTTTCCGTACAGAAATATTAATTTATTAGTCATTCATAAAGCAGAATCAAAGAGAAATGCAAAACATTTCACTAGCTGATTAAAGCTCAGTAATTATTTAGAGCTCAGATTAATTCTAGGGATCAGAGATTACTGTAGCTTGTGATAATTGACTTGCCATCTTTAAACAGGCTCATTTTCACTGTTGTGTGAAATGAATTTCCTAATAATCACATCGTATTGTAATACTTAATCAAAAGCAATTATGTTATACATTGCAGATTTAAAAAACCTTATAGAACAGGTTTTAGCGTGCTTGCATGCTAAACGGTTTTAAATCTACTGCATCAATATAATACATCCAGATACACCTATACCTTCTGATATAACTTCTCATACCGCGTTATTTACTTACCTGCCTAATTAAAGATGCATATGTAAATGGTGGTCTAACTTCTGCGTTCTTATAAAATTCTTGGTTCTGCGCGATATCTGCTAAATAAGAATCATTGTCCTATTAATTATCACTTTTTACAAAGAGGCTGGTCGACAAGCATTGCTGATCACAGTTTTCCCCGAGGCAGAAATGGAGCGTCTACCTGAAGAGATGGGCACGTTGTATTTGTCTGAGTACCGCCTGCGGATGGGTCCCACCGTGTGCATGCTGGTGGTGGTGATGACGGAGGGGCCTTGGGTGACGGGAGTGATGGGGGCAGTGGGGGTCGTAGGAGTATGAGGTAAGCTCTGTGGAGAAGCCTCTGATGCAGACTTGGAGAGTGTGACACTTGATACCAGATTCAGCTGTGAGGAAAGGAACAGTTCTTAGAAGACCTTCAGGAAACAACAGAGCAACCAAGAAAGCATCTGCAATGCAGCAGGAA